CCTTCTTTACCTTTGGGTTCAGTTTACCCTCATCCACATGATAATAAACAGGACACCCAAAAACTTTCAGTGAAGAGTAATCAGCAGGCTTACCATACCACACTTCATAAGGAGTCTTACACTCGATACCTGTGTGTGGTCCACGGTTGATCAGGAAGCACGCCATGTTTACTGCTTCTGCCCAGAATCTTCTCTCTAGTCCAGCATTAGAGAGCATGCACCGTGCTCTCTCCAACAATGTCTGGTTCATCCTTTCTGCAACGTCATTCTGCTGGGGTGTATCTCTAACAGTCCGATGACGGGCAATCCCTTCATCCTTGCAGAATTCGTTGAACTCAGAACTGCAGAACTCCAGACCATTGTCCGTTCGCAGCTTCTTGATCTTCTTACCGGTCTGATTCTCCACCAATGTCTTCCACTGCTTGAACTTCGTGAAAGCCTCACTTTTCTGCTTCATCATGAAAATCCAAGTAAATCTCGAATAATCATCAATAATAGACAGAAAATACCTGCTGCCTCCAATGGATTCAACTCGTGAAGGACCCCAACAGTCAGAGTGGAGGTAATCTAGTATCCCCTTCGTCCGGTGGATACCCTTCTTGGGAAACTTGCTGCGATGTAGCTTCCCAAACACACAATGCTCACAGAATTCCAAATTCTGCACCTTGTGCCCTCAAAGAAGATCCCTCTTCGATAGAACTTGCTTCCCTTGTTCACTCATATGCCCCAGTCTCATGTGCCAGAGAGTGGTCATATCTTCCTGTTGAACCTGAGACGATGCAACTGCAGCAGAACCAGACAACGCAGACCCTTGTAATGCATACAAGGTCCCACGCTTCACGCCCTTCAGTACCTTCCTCGAACCCTTGCAGACATACACAAATCTACCTTTTCCTTTGAAGCTGAAACCCTTGCTGTCGAGTAGACTCAAGGAGATCAAGTTCTTTGTCATTCGTGGAACATGCCTGACATCATTCACGGTAGAGAATGAAACATCATGTGTCCGAACCTTTATGGACCCAAATCCAACAACCTTGCAGACAGCTCCATTAGCCATGACCACGTTACCACCATCTATCTGCTCGTAGGTTGTGAAGCAATCCCTGTTCGCAGACATATGATATGAGGCTGCAGTATCCAGAAACCACACATCACCACGATGTGCCTTCTTATCTACAGCCAAGGCGAGATCGTCTTCAGAACTGTTGTCCACTTCCGCCACGGCAACTGAACCTTGTTTCTTCTGTTGCCCTCTTCTCTTGGGACAGTTGTACTTCCAATGCCCCACTTCCTTACAGTTGTGACAAGCATCACCTGGCTGTGGACCGGGACCCTTGGAATTCTTGCTCGAATTCCCTTTACCAGATTTCTTCTTTCCCTTTCCACCTGTAACAGCCAAACCCGATGCCTCACCACCTGTACCAGATCCGGACGCCTTATGTCCGATCTCTCTCGTATGAAGAGCAGACCTGACATCCTCCAACGACACGCTTTCTTTACCGGCAATAAAAGAATCAACGAAATTCTCATATGAACTCGGAAAAGAAACCAGCAGGATTAGGGCAGCATCCTCATCATCAACTTGAACATCTATATTACGCAGATCCAACAAAATAGAGTTAAGCTGTTCGAGATGTTCCCTCAAAGGCGTACCTTCTTGCATCCTCAAGCTGAACAACCGTTGCTTGAGATGCAGCTTGTTGGTTAAGGACTTCGTCATATACAGACTCTCCAACTTTAACCACAAGCCCGCTGTAGTCTTCTCAGCAGCGACTTCAATGATGACGTCATCAGACAACGATAGCATGATGGTCGAGTGGGCCTTCTCCTCCAGGGTATTCCACTCATCGTCATCGACCGCTGCCTTCTTCTGTTTCGCAGACACCGGCCCCCACAGCCTTTGCAGTTTTAATAAAGCCTGCATCTTGATCTGCCATATAGCGAAGCTGTTCTTCCCCGTGAACTTTTCGATCTTCATGTTCACCGACGTCATTCTTCTGAATCAAAAACCCTAGCCTGATTTCCAACCAGGCTCTGATACCACTTGTTATAAACGCGCTGCTACGGATCGGGAAATCGCCGGAATCGACAAAGCAAGAATCCGAAAGCGAGAATCGAAAAACACGACACACGATTTACGTGGTTCACTAACACGATGTGTGTTAGCTACGTCCACGGGCGAGAGAGACCCCCGATTACCAGTCGTAGCGGCTGATAATCCGATTCAAGTCATATCAACATAACTATACAAATTGTTCAACACCAATCTAGAAAACTCAATAAAATTGAAGCAAATCACAAATTATCGATAAATAACATGATTAATTGAAAGCTTCTTCCTTTCAATTAAGTTTCTTCACTCTCCACTCGATGACATCAACTTCATTCTACACAATTAGAAAGAAAAAATTAGACATATCTCCACAAATATAAATAAGATTAGTTGTTTAGAATATTATATATACCGAGAAAATTAACTATATGGGTGTGGGCGGGTACCCATGGGTCGGGTTTACCTAAACCCAAACCCAACCCAACCCGGTGAATAGTAAACGTATTTAAACCCAAACCCGGCCCAAAACCGGTCAACACGGATTTTACCGGCGTTGACCGGGTTGGATCGGGTGGGTACCCGTGGGTTTGGGTTTTGTTGCCATCACTAGTGGCCGCGCGGCACTTATCTCCATCCGGCCCACGCCAGATGGCCCACCACCACTCGCGGGCCTTCTTCGTACACCTCCGCATCACTGTATCGTGTCCAGCCTTAACTCCAAGCCTGCTTCCCGACTCACGGATCCGACCATTGCCAACTCGCGGCCCACTCACAAAAGAGGGACAATCCACCACACGCGGGCCCGCTTCACGTTATCCGCCACCATTCAGTCTTCACAAGCCCCGCCCGCAACGTCAAGTCCTGAGCTCGCCTCAACGAGCGGCCCATACCATACCTAAAAAATGTTATCGTCGCCACCAACACTTGAACCCGCGTCATTCCTCCTCCAGACAAGCAACATCACCATCAGGCTACATGCGCGCCGCCAACACTTGAACCCGCGTCATTCCTCCGCCAGACAAGCAACATCACCAGCAGGCTACATGCGCGCTTGGTGATTTGACTCCGCGCTCAAACAAATACAGCCTGTTTCCCGCGCCACGAAAGTCGGCTTCACTCTGGCCAATCAGCTTCTCAACTCGCGGTCCGCGACAACGTGCCCGCTCAGCTTCCAGGCGTAGATGAAGCCCAAGTCGCGGATCCAAGTCCGCCCCACCTTCATACTTCCGGCCTGCGCAATGGAGACAAAGTCACGACTCACGCTACTCTTGGGCCCGGGCCGGGCTCGCCTCACCAATATGCGGCCCATCCTTGCTTCAATTCGCAACGGAGACAAAGTCACGACTCACGCTACTCTTGGGCCCGGGCCGGGCTCGCCTCACCAATATGCGGCCCATCCTTGCTTCAATTCGCGTTAAAAACAATGTCATCACCACCAGGATTTGAACCCGCGTCACTACTCCGACAAACAAGCAACATCACCAGTAGGCTAAATGTGCGCCTGGTGATCTTTAGGCGCAGCACTATTATTTTAACAACTCTTCGCGCCGCTTCGCCAACATAAAGCTAAGTACTCTATCCCTCTATCATTATTAAATTTTTAAATTTTTACTTTCATGAGCGTTAATGATGCTTATGGGGGGCAAGACGTACCAAACAACATGGGAGATGAGAAACTCAATCAAGCGACATATGAGAGCGCTCGACTACCTCCATGAAGAAGCTACAAATAAGTCTCAACGAAGCACACAAATAAGACTTCAATAAGAGCATCGAAGAAGCTACAAATAAGTCTCAAAGAAGCACACAAATATGAATTCAATAAGAGCATCGAAGAAGCTACAAATAAGTCTCAACGAAGCACACAAATAAGACTTCAATAAGAGCATAGGTGAATTTACAAATAAGTCTCAACGAAGCACACAAATAAGACTTCAATAAGAGCATCGAAGAAGCTACAAATAAGTCTCAACGAAGCACACAAAATAAGACTTCAATAAGAGCATCGAAGACTCCAAACTGAGGGTTAAAAACCCCGACGAGGAGAGGGCACATTGCCTTGAAGACTCCAAACTGAGGGTTAAAAACCCCGATGAGGAGAGCTCCAAACTGAGGGTTAAAAACCCCAACGAGGAGAACTCCAAACTGAGGGTTAAAAACCCCAACGAGGAGAGCTCCAAACTGAGGGTCAAAAACCCCGACGAGGAGAATTCCAAACTGAGGGTTAAAAAAAAACTGACGAGGAGAGCTCCATGAAGAATCTAAAATGGGTGAAGGCTACACGCTTTAATGAAATACACCAATTGGGGGGCAAGACGCAAGAAGCTGGCACCGCGTCAGCCAAACGCGCCACCAGCTGGGGGGCAACTGGGGTACATAGGCTCCATCCAAAATGATCGATGAAGATTTAAAAAAATAAATAATAAGCTAGTGATGAGTTAAAACTCACCACCAGCTTGGGGGTGTTACTAAATACTCCGTTCACAGACTAAGTAGTAGGGCGCACAATCGGCGATGCGCGATACGCGCTACAGGTATATAAGGGCTTGAAGCCCTCCAAAGGAGGGGACTTCTTCTCTCTCCTGACTTTCCACTTTCCACTCTCTAAACAAAAACTGACTTGATCGTCAGAGCTTAATCCGGGGGGCAACCCCGGCTCTTTCACAGGTCTCTTCCCTCCCGACGAGATCAGACGAACAATCCATGAGTCAACTGACTCACTCCTACTGTCACTCTAGAAAATGGCCAAGTGTAACCACTTCCTAAAGCGTAGTATAGCGGGTTTGGGTTTTATTGTCAACCCGGGTCCTAGATGTGATGACTACTCAGTGAATTCGTATTATCTAGCAATGCAACTTTAGTGAAGATCTAAACTAACAAGCAAGCAAAGTAACTGAACAGTTGTTTTCAGGTTAAGAGAGGTCACCCGGATATGGTTCCCCCTGGTCTGCAGTTAAGCCGGATTGTAATTACCAAGTTCAATTTCTATGATAGTTATACTGCGGAAGGTTCTCAAACAGTCTGAAGTCTCGACTAAAGGTCTTCAGACCCTCTCAATATGAGTCTCTAGCGGGCGACTAACCTCCACCGGAGTAAACAGATTGAGGCCCTAACGAACCAAACCTCCACTACCGAATGGAATTCGGTACAGAATAGCGAATTGGCTCCTCGACTAAAGTCACCAATTCGCCACCTTCAATCAAGGATACTCTATTAACCTAGGCAGATATTCTCATTCTAGGTTAAAGCAGAAACAACAGGAATTTGATCAGGATTCATGCCATTCAATCATTCAAACCTCAATTGAATATAATCAATTCATAGAAACAGTACTTGGGTTCATACACTCAATCCTAACATACAGAACTAGGGTTTCCCACACCCAGATGAATGGGAGAACTACTCCATGGAGAAAGAAGCAACAGTAGAATCAGATGCGGAAACCATACTGTGAAGATGGATTTCTACTCCTGGACGTTGAATCGGCACTTCTCCAGGCTCTAGCCAAGCTCCAATGGTGTTGAAGATCAAGCTAGGGCACTTGGAGACTCTTGTTTGTCGCTTTCTCTCTCTAGGAATCGTTATGTCTCTCTGAAACTCGAATCCCCTTATGTTTTGGCTGAAATCTGCTTAAAAACCAGAATTTCCCGACTCACACGGGCAGGCCACACGGCCGTGTGGCTCACCCAAGTGGCCGTGCGAGTCAAAACGCACCGTCCCATTAATTCGATTTTCAGCCATCTCACACGGCCAGGGTTGCACGGCCGTGTGGATTTCCTGAGTTGCCCGTGTTTGCTCTCGCAGAATTCCACACGGCCAAACTGGTCACTTGCACGGCCGTGTGGGTTGTGGGTGTGCGCGTGCGACTTCCTCAGAACCTCGCCATGCGTCCGAACCTCGTCCAATCGACCCCGAACTCGCTCCCAAGCCTCCATTCACGTACTAGGACCTGAAATATCATAAACAAGCACAAACTAGCGTGAAATCTGCCTAAAACACGAGAATCAATCACCTCAAACGGAGTAAGAACGGGGGTAAAAACATGTGTAAATAACGGTCTATCATCAACCCCACACCAACAAATATCATTGTTCATACCGGAGCTAGGTGGTACAAACAGAACTTTTTACTGATCGTATAGATTGAAATTTTTTTGGTTAGTGATAAAATCACTCGTAAAATAGAGTATTATATATAATAAAACATGAAGGATTCTATAAATAGTTAACCATTAAACTATTAACTACTAAATTTTCGGTTGAATATCCAATCCGTTTCTGAAAAGATTGCACAATAATAAAAATATGTTGCAATTCCCTTATCACTATCATAAAAAATAATATTTATATTTCTTATGAATGTCTTTTTTTTTGGGGATTTTACTGAAATTTGTGCAAAAAATCCAACTGAGGCATCCAATTTATTTGAGTGATGTTCAAGACATCTAACATTCTCTGTCGCTTCTGAGTTTTTTCTTTTCATTTACTTTTTCATCCCGCAATTAAATTTATCTAATCATACCCCGTAAGTAATTAAGTAAATTTTTTTTTTGATAGAAAAAGTAATTAAGTAATTGAAAAGAATGCTTTTCTTAATCTCCATCTGACTAAATATGGTTTAATTAAGGCTCCCGCCTCTTTATTTGTACACGAGTCTCCCTGTGGTCAAAGTCGATGACTTTCCACGGAAGGGACGACCCTGTTCCTCCACCATTTTTTCAATTGTATAATATAGTGAGAAAGTTCTTAAAATTCATATACAAATATTTTTAATAATTTGATTAATTAAAACTAGTTGTTTTATAATATGATATCAGAGATGATTTGTCCTTTAGTTCACGTGTTCAAGGTTTTACTATCCACAAAATATTAACTATTGTCTTAAAACATATAACTTCAAGTCCATGAGTTAACTTTTATTAGAGAAGTCGTGTAAAGAAAATGATTATCATAAATAAACCTCTACTAAAAACTCAACTTATTGAGACTAATTGGTTTATGCCACTTATCTGACTAGTTTTGCTATAATTGATAGTAGTTTTGCCTTTTAGAAATAATTAAGTAAAATTGGTTGGCCAAAACTCAAAAGGCATGCATGCATGCAAATGAGGATTAATTAATACGTTGATGTATGATAATTAAGATAGGATGAAGCTCAATGTTTATGGAGCACCTAATATCACCAAAACTAATGAGTTTAGTATCCTGTTTTTGAGTTGGGAATAATCTCGCTCTTGTCCATGTCTCTTCTTCCTAGTTTTATCCAAATTACTTTAACGGGGCTAAATCATTATCTTGTCTACTGAAATATACAATGAATTTATCCTAGCTTAGATTACAAGATGGATCTTACCCACACTAACTTGTCATCATCATCCTCTTTACTTTTATTAAATTCTTATATAATACTTAGAACTTTAATGAAAAGACATACATGGCCATTGTATTGGACACTTAAACGGCATGCATGTACTTGTTTGCTTGTGAATCAACGTAGCTTGAAGGACATCCAAAAATTGGGAAGTTCGAAGTTGAAAGAGTGTTGAAATCAAAAGAAGAACCGTCGTGTGTGTGTGAACCTGAGAGTAATACTGTGGCAAAGTCCAATGTAAATATTAGTGCAAAAAGTTGTTTCGAAACACCCTTTACTTGCGTGGTAAGTGAAGTCTAATCGCCCTAACGCTCCCTTTCCAAGTGGGTCGCACGTTAATATGTATGGCCCCTTTGTTTTCATCTACTTATCTTCCATCTCAAACTCCTCCTCCTAATTACTTAGCGTTGATATTCATGTCGAGAGTGAGAAGAGACGTTGATGAATTTTTTAATGGATGGTTTTCGTTGGGGTTGGGAAACGATGTAGTTAAGTTTAGATTGGATTGTATATACGATTTACGGACCAGACAGAGGAGGTTGAGCATAGATTAAGGACTAGACAAAATATCTTGTGGTTTAGTTTAGTATAGTTCGAACTAGGCAGACCATGTTCAACAAAAATGAATTGCTTGTTTGGTTAACTACAAAAAGAATCGAACCAATAATTAAAAAAATATGTTTTCCCCTGCAAATCAAAATTCCAACACACTTGCATTGTTTTGATACTCTAAATCTAGCAAATAACAAAAAAAATAAAGTCGAAGTGCTTACACCTAAAGACGATCTTCTACCACATTTGTGAGGTACAAAGTGATAAATGGTCTTATAAGGACACATCAATTATAATAATTAATGTTATTTAAGTTGAGCTTTATGAATATTGATTGTAAGCCCAAGCCACTAAGTCACAGTGAGCATGGCTATGATTCAATGAGGGACATGGGATATTCGTAAGAGGCCATGCCATGCCACGAGACTATAAAAAAACTAAGAATGGGAAGGACGTGACACTTCACGAGGAGGGCCATATCCTTCTAGAATCTAGAGGCACGTGCCGTTACACAAAGAGGGCCATGTCCATCAGGAATCTAGGGGCACGTGCAGTGGCGGACCCAGAAATTTTTTATAGGGGTGTCCTCTTTTAAAAAATAAATTAAATAAAAATAATTAATAAAAATAAAATTGTAAATATGAAAATACCTTACTCGTATAGGTTAAAAAAGTCCATGATATGTTTTCATATTCGGAAATAATTGTAAAAAAGTCTATAGTGTTAAAAAAATTGTCTCTATATACACTACTAGACAATCATTCACGAACTTATCGCATATTCGATTTGTAAACTTGTTATTGATGTAACCCAAAGTTGAAAGACTCTTTCAACACTTGTCATACAATCATAAAATCAATACAAATTAAGGGTAGCTTGAAATTAGTTTAATTGTTAGGCTTTTAAAATAATTAGAGATAGCGAATGCCATTTTACTCACATTGTTCAAAATCGAACAACAAATGAATTTAGCTCAACGGAAATTAAGTTTATTAATAATAATAGTGTTCTAGATGTGAATTATCCAACCTACCACTTATATTCCTATACACAAATGACAGAAACATAATCATTTTTTCAAATTTAGAGGTGTCCCTCACTATCAATTATATTTTTTTGTCCATACGTAAATTACTACCGAAGGTTGGATAATCGTTTTCCCAAAATTTAGGGGTGTCCGAGGACTCCCCTAAACCTCCCTGGGTCCGCCCCTGGGCACGTGCCACTTCAAAAGAGGGCCATGTCCGTATAGAATCTAGAAGCACATATTGCATCACGAAGAGGGCCATGTCCATCTAGAATCTTGAAGCACGTGCCGCTTCACGGAGATGGCCATGTCCATCTACAATCTAGAAGTTCATGCCACTTTAATGAGAGGGACTAGGGACGTGAGAAAATTCTCGCACTCACGTGATCATGCCACGAGAAGCGGATCTCAAAGAAGGTTGAAAATGACTAAATCTGAGACCAAGTGGCCAACATTGAAAGTGGCCAAGCAACGGAGGCGGTGGCTGAAAGCAATGGTGGGGCGGACATCTCGCCACCGACCACGCCCAATGAAGATCTTGGTGAGGCAGTAGCATCCCTTCGCCAAATGGTGGCAGAGATTCGTCATACCAAAAGGGGAAAGCCCATTCGTGGACCCATTCAGCCGAGGAAGTACTCATTTGATGTTTCTAGGACATACTTGATTTTTGATAAACTCTACAAGGATGGTCAGATCAAGTTGAGTGGGGCCATGATATTCCCTCACCCGAGAAGTTTAAAGGAAAAAAATTGTAAGTCGCACATCAATATGTCACATGCCACTGATGCTTGTGTCGCTTTTTCATAATGTCTTACAGGATGCCATTAAAAATGGGTGCATCAAGTTCCTTGAGGCAAAGAAGGATGCCATGTTGGTGGACACTGATCCGTTTCCCAATGTGCTTGACGTCAACATGGTCAACATAGACTTCTCCAAGATCGAGTTGCCATGCTTCAAACAGGTGTTGGAGACAACACCACCTTATAAGGTGAACTATAATGTGGTATCCACGAGGCCAAATAAACTTCAAGCCACACATGCTTGTGAAAAGTATGCTAAATTGGCTAAGTCTGGAAAGGGAGGCATGCCAGCAACTACAACAAGTGGACGTGGGAGCATGGAGGTGAGAAAAG